CAACCTAATAGCACTGGCCTCCAACCTAACTGCAAGGGCCTCCAACCAAATAGCAATGGTCTTCAACCTAATAGCAATGGCCTCCAACCTAATAGCAATGGTCTCCAACCTAGTAGCACTGGCCTCCAACCTAATAGCGATGGCCTTCAACCTAATAGCAAAGGCCTCCAACTGAATGGCAAAGGCCCCAGAATCCCTGTGGAGTACGAAGTTTCAAGCTTCGATCAATCCTTATCAGTTCTGGGTCCGAACATATCCCCAAAGCCGAGATTCTGGAAAGTGGTTTTGAACGAATTGGCACCCTATGCGCTCCGAGACACTAGCTCTTCACCGTAGTGAGTCTCGTCGCAAACGCACTCGAGCCACACTTCAAGAGGCATCAAACGGGAGACTTCAAACGTGAAGTTGAAGCCACTCAATTTGATCGTGTTGAGTGATCTGGATTGGTTTGATCTTGTTTCAGACCCGCATCTGTCGTGTGTGGAAGATTGCCATGTCATCATCCAGGATTTCTTGTGATTTTAGCATTCTTTTTGAGACAAATTGCTTTGGAGCCAGAAGCCAAGGCCAGCAAACAAGCACCTCTGCACCCATCACAGTTCAATCTTTGGTGTGGGAAATGGACCCTTTGTTCACAGGTAAAACGCATGTATCCTTGGTGATCAGCCTTCTAAATATCAATCCTGCCATTCTGGGAAGATCGAAGAGCGACAGCTAAAGGCACCAAGCCTTCCCTAAAAGCACCTTGGCACAAAATGGGATGTATAAAGAGATGGTTGGAGGCCGTCGCTTTTAGGTTGGCTACAGCCACGAACGACACCTCGACCTCGGACCGAGATCTGAGAACGATCTCAGACTTCTGCCGCACGGAGGCCAGAGACCTTTGGGAAATCCTCATCTGAATCCTGGCAATAAACACCGTGTTTTGGCAACAGTTTGTCAGCTTTCAACACGACCAACGGACTGACTGTTCACTGCAAGCAACAGTTGGGAAAGCACTTGCGCACGTTTTGCCAGGCCTCACCAGAAGCCTGCGGGCTTGAATACATCTTCACCTCAAAACAGAAATGTGCCGATGTCTTTTTCTGGCTTTCAGCCTTGCACTTCTCCCGCTCTTCGCCCTGTTTTTGCTCCGCTTTGGTCCGGGCGGGCTCGGAGACCTGTCGGCGGAAGTTGTCCAACACCGTGGCCTCATCGCCACCCACCTGCGGAATCCGAGAGTTCCACTTCCAATTCATGTCAAAAGGCAGATTCTTGCCTCAGGCCAGGTTCTTGTTTCCAGTGCGGACTTGTTTTGTTGGAACTATGAGTCAAAAGACTCCAACTTATGCAAGTGTGGCATGTGTGTATGTGTGTAACCCTTGGAGTCATAGGCGGCCTGTTGGATTTGAATGCTAAAGCAGGGGGCACGCGGCCAGTAAGCAAACGCATGCCAACGAAGCTATGTGTAATGGTGGATACCAGGCACACCCGCCTTCTCAAGATGTTTGTGGTGTTGACTGCGCGCCACTCACAGCGAGTGGAAGCTGATTGTTTGGTGAGGTCAAACAAGTGTTCGTCCACTCCTTTTTGGAACGTTTGGAGATGGAAACTCTGAACTTCGGTGTGACATCTGACCCTCTAATCTCCGGAGTAATGAAATCAGACCAACTTGCATACAGGTGTCTCCGTGGTTTTACTTATAGGTGTCTTTTTTCCCCGCTTCAGGGCCTCGGTGCAATCAAATCGCACGCTTGATTTCTTGAGCATGTCTCTGTGTGTGTGGACAATCTCAAAGATTGCACGGTGAAATTCGGTGACAAATGGCCGCCTATATGGCCTAGTAGCTACTTGCTCCTAGTAGTAAGCCCCTAGTAGCGTCCTTGTTACTAGTAGTAAGGCCAGGAGCCCCTAGGTCAATGTTGTCACCCTCGCTGTGTTCAACTCTTGCCTCCAGGAACGTGTTCCTGACCACCACTGCCTGCGACATGGGTCCTCAGTTTGACTCGACACTGCAAAAATAGCCAAAAAAGAGCTTAAAAGCATTCAACTTTTTCATGCTGAGTGTAGCATCAGCATGTATTTGTCTGCCACCAAGCCACCCAAGCGTATTGGGAGGCACTTCACAAAAATTCGGAAACGAAAGCGCCGCTGAGGCCGCTGAGTTGTTGCGCCCTAGCGCTTGGTTTCTATCGCCTCGCTGATGTGAAGTTCAATCCGCATATGCTGATGACATGACATTACCAAGTGTGAAAACGGCTTGATACCACTGACCATGTTTTGAAGCATCAAATGTTGCGGCCCCGATTTGCAAAAGCCGCTTGAGCCAATGCAAAAGTGCACCAAAATTGTGAATGGCATCTACCATGCCCATTCTGCAACTGAGGTCTTTCACAGACTCCTATTCCACGCTTTGATTCAATTCCTTGCACCCAGGTGCAGGGGGTCCACCATGTTCTGCTCTGCAGTGACATCCTCAGTGAATCAAAAACTATTCAGGGACATGTGGATTTTCAAGTTGAGGTTTTGTAGTAGTGAATTGACCTCACAACTGCTTGGCCCCAATCCTCGAAAAAAAGTCACAAATCAAAAGTGGCCAATTGAAGATTGACACAGAATGTGCAGGCTTAAGCGGCTTTAGCTCACGTCCTGAGCAGTGTCGGACTCCGTCGGACTCCGTCGGACTCCGGTGCTCCCACCTTCCAGTTGGTCATGCTGGTGTAGTGTGCCTCCAGCTGTGATAGATCGAGACCTCAAGCCCGCTGTGTCCGACATCTCTGTAAGAAGAAAACCTGCAAAACTAGGGAAAAAAGAAAGCAAGGATTGTCCCGATAGCCACTCTTTCTCAAGTTGTACACTTTCATCTCCCGAGGGAGCCAAACACCTGTCGTCTCCGTCTCCGCCGCTTCCGACTCTTCGCCGCTTCGCCCGCCTTCCGCATCTAGACCCAGGTGTAAGTGGAGATAGGAGCGCGTCATGGGAGTCTCCTGGCACAGCCGACATAGCCCACGCATCATCCTTCTAAAATGAACAAGGAAAAAAAGAAGAAGGGAAGGGAGCGGGAAGGAAGGAAGGAAGGAAGGAAGACAGAAAAAGAAAAGAATAAGAAATGTCTTGAAAATGGAAAATGAATGTGTCTTGTTTATAGTAAGGAGGGCGAAGATGGTGCACCGTCACCAACACGTTACACAGCACACTGTTAGTAACTGGTGGCAGTTAGGTCCAAGACTGGAAGGGTTCAAACCCGTTTAAAAGCATTCCAAGGATTGTAGCGCGTTGTTTAATCCAAGACTTGATCTCCTGCCAATCTTGCTTCATGTCATCTAAGCTCAGATCCTGTCTCAAAGAGCATAGGAATCAGTCGACGAAGCGTCATGGAGGTTGTCTCAAATATATAGTCGGATCCAACGCTGCGGTGTATCAGGGAAAGGATCAACTGATCATCCCACCTGTAGCTGCATTGCCGAACACAAATACATCCTGCTTCCTAGTCAGTGTTGTTTGAAGCTTTTGGAGAGTTGTACTGTCGTACTGTTGCCGCAATCCGAAATTTCTTTGGGACAGTGTCAGTTCCAATTAAAATGCAGAACTCTCCTTCAAACTGTCAGGCTGTGCTCCCTCTTAGCCTAAGGCTACAACTTGTCTATGCATACATGCTGTGTGCAATGCCTGCAATCAGCCGCAAGTGCTCGTTGAGCTGATATGCTATAAGCAGTCAAGCTACTGAGTAGCACGGATAGCGCTCAAGCCTTTCTGCCGACAATGCTCGATCCTTGCCTGAGGCAGCAGCTTGGCCGCATCCCAAATCGGGGCATTGCACACCACCGCCTGCTGATGGCACCGCAGCATCTGGTGAAGAGGCGATTGCAGTGCACTCTAAAGACATCCTGCTCGTTTGTGTAGGGAAAGGAACGTGGCTCTCACAAGCGTACGGAGTCACCGATCAAAAAAAAGTCTGGCCAGCGACAAATATTGAAGTTGTTCAGCCGTGTCACCTTGTGCCTATCTGTGAGATACATGCTATACTGGAACTTAGTTCACGTTTAAAGGAGAACTAAATGTATATAAACATACTACAGTATATAGTATAATTACATATATACATATAAATCAAAGCCCGGGAATGGAAAATTATAACCGTAAAAAGCAACGAAGCATTCAAAAGTGCAAGCTTAAGTCACTATGTTGTGCCTCCCGAGCTCGCAGCTCGCCTTTGGAGCCTCAGATACCGCATCCCACAAATACCAATGGCATCAAATATCCTTGCCTAAGTTTGACAATCAGCTTTGTACTTCTTGGAGATGAAGAGGCTTTCAGCTTTCGGACATTCAAAGACTACATGAAATGGCCAGACTTTTTCATCCGAAACCTTTCGAACCTTTCCGTGCCAAAGGGTTCAGCCTATCTTTGGCCCCCGACTGCGAACACCCACAGCACACTGCCCCTCTAAGAGAACCTCAAAGGGAATTGTCTTGAGGAATCATGGCCCAATCCACTCTTTCATCTTGGAAGACTTGAAGATTATCAAATCAAAAGCAAACAAAAATACAACTAGCCTATTCATGATCTCTATTTCAAGGGGTCACGGCTACTACGCACATGTGATTTGTTCAAAACATATGAGTCCAGAATCAGAGACAAACGCTTCCCAACATGCAAAGGGGCGGTGGTCACAGTGACACGCATAGGTCGCTCCATGTGCCTCCTCGACCTTGACCTTGGTGCAAACTTCGCCCCCGAACTTCTCCACGGCCTTTACCAGGGCTTCTACCACGGAGCCCATGCCACCCTGACAGGGCAAAATTTGAGAAGTGATACAACTCACCTCAAAAGGGCAATAAAAGTTCATACAACTCACCGAAGAAAGGCGTGAACATCCTGAGCAGAAGCTGATCCAATTCAAAGCCGTTGGCAACCCAATTTTGAGCATCACACTCTTGTCAACTCTAATCTCGAGTGAACAAATTGGATGGCACAAACGAGTCCGTGAGTGGCGGCCACTGGCCGCCAGGCTCAGCAAGTAGGTATTTCTCCAAGCTCACCAACCGGGAAAGTGTTTACCGCGCCCTTTCAAGCGGCTGGTGTGCCAGTCGTGCCAGACGGCCGAGCCCTGGCCTTGGGATAGGCCAAGCCACGAGAGCCTTCCCAATGCAACTCTTCCATGGTGAAGGCCATGGCAGCACAGGTGGTGCCTGGAATGTGCTGCGTCCGCTTGGGCTGTGCTCGACTCTTGACCTTGACCGAGCTCCGCTGTGCCTTGCCTGTGCAGTCCAAGCCAGACAAGGAAAAGGCCAAAGCGTCCAACCAGTCTCTTAGCCTGAGAAAGTCAGGGAGAAAGCCACTCCCGAATTTCACTCAGAGTGTCAAACATGTCGGAGCACATGTGCCTTCCCCTGGGCTAGCGAATCCACACTGAGCAGCTCTCTACGAGGCCGACCAAGTCTCCAACCAGCTGCCTTTTTGCATTTTGCCCTTGGCCTCTAACTCATCAAGGACCTGCGATGGCGCTGGCCCAGCCATCCACCAACATAGATCAGTCACATCCAAAACTCTACAAATGGCTCACAATGCTGATCGCAAGTTGGACTCTCTTCCACATCAAATCGGCGTGATTGCCTTGCCAATTTATTTCCAGTTTTCTCCAAACCTCATTGGACTCAACTTCACTTCCCCTGAGGTGCACACCACCGAGAAAGGCTCTGACAAAGCAGGGGCGTCACGGATCGCGGGCAAGAGGCCACCCGGGAACTGTCAGAGCACGGGAGATACGCTAAATGGCCAGAGTATGCAGATATGTTCTCGTTCCTTCTTGGTGAATCAAGAGTCTATATTTATTGAAGGGCTGGCGCACGCCAGCCAAAGCAAAGCAAAAGAAGCGGCCTTTTCCGGACCAAAAGGCGAAAGCCAAAAAGGGTCAAGATCTCGGGCCCCCGACGGCAGCGGGGATTCTCAAGCTGAAACGACATCCCAATCCAATGCCCAGTTCAACAGCGGCTAGTCTTCTTTTGTGGATTGAGGATGTGGATTCTTCATGAACACTGTGCAAAGGATCGCTGCCGTGGCTCCTAGGGCCGCTTGAGTGTTGCTCAAATGGTCGAGCTCGACCGCCTCTTCCAAAGTCCTCCATTCTGAGGCTCCTGACTTCAAATCGAAGCGTCCGTAGGTGCTTCGAAAAGGAAAATGCTTTACATCAACTCTGGGCTTGGGCGATCTGAAGGATCGAGCGTGCCGAGCAACCTGCAAAATCAAATCAACTTCAAAGTGCCAGCCAGGCCTGTCTGCCAGCTGGTGGACATATGGAAAAACAGGGTGACTCTCACGCATCGGCTCACCGGGCAGCTCAACACAGGGCTCGGCCTTCTTCTTTGCGACCTTGCTTTTGCCCTTGATGAAATCAGTATTGAATTTCACTGACCATCTTCCTCTGTCGAGCGTGGTTCGGAGGTGGTGCATGTCCATGACCTTTGTGCCTCCGTCGGCGATCATGTTCTCAGTGGCCGTCCACTTCAGTGAGGTGCCTGGCCGGCGAAGGATGGAGCGCATCCAAGCAACTGCAAAGGCCAGACTCTTCTGACTCCCATAGGTGGAATCCGAGGAGCACTTGTCAAAGACGTCCTTGGCGTCAACCACCACCATCATGCGGATCACGTCCATGACGCTCTCAGCATACCGATTTTCCATCGGCAGGCCACGAAAGGAAGCAACCACTCCTCTCACAAACTGCCCACAATCAAAGGCCTCCTCGGCCCCCAAAAGCTCCGCCGCGTAGGTGCTGCGGCAAACACGTGGCAACCGATGGCTGCGGCCATCGAGAAGGCAGAAGTTGCATTCTTCATGAGACGTTTGTCTCCGAGCAGGACGAACGGGGCCAAGGTTTGAGCCTTCTTTTGAAACATTGCCAAGCGACGAGTCCGTCACCACGATCACTCCAGCATCTTCCAGATCCATAGGCCTGAAGGTCAAGCCAAAACCAGAAGTCAGCTTCATCTGCTTCAGAAGCTGATTGCAGCGCAGGAGTGCGCCGATCGTCTGAGGCTGTTCTCCTTGGAGAGTGCTGAGGGCGAAGGCTTGATCAACTCTTACTTGCGCCACCATCCACTGCAGTGAACCCAGCAAAGCACGAAGTTGCTTTTGCTCAGCTCCAGTCAAGGGCTCATTGGGATCGCTTCGACGATGAAGCGGCGCCACAGCTGGACGCGCATTTTCATGGTACTCCTTCATGGTGACAGTGATCACGCCGGTGGTCAAGTCCTGGGAAATCTTCTTCCCGCAGTAGTTGAAGGAGTTGTGTTCAACTGAACCAAAACCCAACGTCTTCTCCAGGGAGAGGATGCTCTCACGAGCTGCTGAGCAACCACCAACCAGCAGGTTGTCTACATGGGAGAGGCAAATACCAAGCAACTGCTCATGCTTGCTGTCCCAAAGCATCCAGCAAGCGGGATCCATGAAGTTTCTCTCCCAACCAAGCTCGCTCAAAGCTCGGTGCAGGCGAAGGTACCACTGTCTTGGTGCATCGCTCAAGCCAAAGACTCCCTTTTTCACACGCGCCAAGCCACGGGCGCCAAAAGGAAGTTGAGGTTCACCGCGCAAACCCTTGGTGTTCTCGATGAAAAGCTCACGGGCGCCGTCCATGTAAGGATCACTTCGAGGAAGGCAGATTTCACATCACATGACATCAGCCGCCATTCCAGCTTCTGAAAGTTCGAAGCCGTGAGGGTGAACACGAGGTGCTGTGACAATCTCGACGCTGTAGGTGCGTCCTTGCGCAAGGAAAAGGAAAGCACATCTCGGAAACCAGGCACGACCAGTCTTGCGCTAGCCTTGATGCCCAAATTGTTCTCCTTGGTGCGAAGCCCATCATTCTTGTCCGTGAAGACCCAGCGAGGTGTCAGGATCTTGCAATCTTCTCGCTTCGATCGCAGCTCAGCTCGGACGCGAGCCGAAGTCTTCTCATCGAGGACCTCCACAGCATCATTGGTCGTCCACACGCTCCAACCAGTCTTCGCGGCTTCTTCAAAGGCCACCTTTTGAGAGGGATTCATGGAGCGCCAATAGTACTCCTTGCGAGCAGCTTGCACAGCCATAGCCTCATTGATGTCATCGGATCCATTGGGCCAGGAAAGCCCAACTCGTTGGCGAGTCAGCCACTCAGTGCGTGAGGGAAGTCCCCAACGCCCATCCCAGGATCCATGATCTTGTACTCGTGCATCGAGAGGATTAGCGCGATCAACGCAAGCTTCGCAGTATAAGCGAACCAGAGGGTGCACTTCAGCTCCACGGTCTAAAATGGAAAGCACATCTTCCTTGCTCACGACATTGGTGTCATGAAGGTGTCGAGGTTCTTCAGCGGGAGGTGCAACGGGAGCATCTCTTTCAGCCAAGGAGCGAAGTGTCTCCGTGGAAAGCTCTGCAGGACGCTTGTCCATAGTGCGGGCTCGCTCAATTTGCTCTTGCAGACGAGGCAGTGAAGAGGTAGAAGGCCTCCTCGCTCCAGCCCACATAGGCGCCGTCAAAGGCGTAGTCATGGGTGTGCTCTGGCGAGTCCAGGGCGTCGTCATCCTAGACGTCATAGTTCCAACCTGCGAAGGCAGTCGAGAACCAGAGGCATCAGCTCCTCCAATCACAGCATCAACCATCTCTTGAGGTCGTACTGGCGGAAGATCACCAACTGGCGGTGTAGGACCAACCACAGGAAATGCAGGGTTGAACATGTTGACAGGAGGCGACGGTTCATCAGCAGGAGAGGGAGCGGCCTCGCTATCACTAGTTGGAGCATAGTCCAGATCTGCTGCGGGTTCATCTTCTTGAAGAGCAGGAGGTTGAGTGGCGTCAGCCAGTCCGCTGCGAGTGAGGTCATGCAGCGAAGATTCAACTGCTTCTCGAATTGCCTCCTCCCAATCTCCGGCAGTGATCTGCTCCATGGGGCTCGCCTTTCTCACATGCTCTAGTGAACACTTTGTCAACTGCCCCTTGAAGGAAATGTATGCATTTGCTCCAATGTTGCCCTCAGAGCCTTGCTCAACAGCGACCAGTAGGCCAGGACCATGCCACTTTCGCAAAGTCAGCCGTCTGCGATGGCCAGTGTTGCGGTTGTTGTACTTCTGGAATCGAAAGAAGTAGACAATGGATCCAGGCTCAGGGATATCTTGGATGGTGCTGTTCCGGCTTCTGGACAACTCAGCACGCCTCAAGCCTCTGCTGAAGTGCAATCTTGTCATCGCCACCTTGGCAGTCTCACGAAGGGCCATCAGGCGAACGTGGGACGGCTTGAAGTCCAGGAGGTCATGTTCGGCCAACCGGCCTTGGATGTCCGACAGAACATCGCCTTGGATCTTTGGTTGTCTCCCCAAGGCAGCTTGGCATGGACTCACACCACTGTCATTGATGTCCTGGTTGTAGGCGGAAGTTGCCTCACCAAGTGCCAAGCTCATCTCATGGTGTCCAATGACGGAGTTCGCCATCACCACTGCCTGGAGGATGGTTTTCAGTATTCCTCCTGATCTTTCTGCGATGCCGTTTTGCCAAGGCGCACCCACTCCAATGTGCCATAGGAGTATGGAGTGACTGGAGCAAAAGTTCTGAAGCTCATGCGAGATGAATTCTCTGCCTTGATCTGCCACCAGAACTCGCATGGGACCAAAAACAGGCATCCATCTTGTCTGCAAGAACTCCACCACTGCAGCTGCCGTTTTCCGTTCAAAGATCTGGCTCATTTGAAATCTCGTGCAGAAGTCGGTGCAGTGGAGGATGTAGTATTTGGTGCCCTTGCAGTCTTCAGCCTCGAGCAGGTCGATGTGGACTTGATCAGACACATCTCTGGGGTTTGGCAATGAACCAACACGTTGACTCTTTGGTGCAACTCTTTCAGCACAGATGGAGCACTTGTGCTGTTTTGCAGCCTGGATGGCTGAAGCAGGCGCACCTGCAATGGTGAGCGCACGAGCCAATCTTCTGTTGCTTCTGTGACCAGTTTGGTCATGGAGGCGGGCAACTGCGGCACGGATTGCAGCTGGAATCTTTGCATCAGGAGCGCTGGCGCCGTCATCATCATCAGTCTCGCTGTCAGCAGCAGCGGGCAAGGCAAAATCCTCCTCCTCAGCCTCAGGGTTGCCATGGCCAACCGCAAGAACTTCAGAGACCTTCGAAGCTTCACGATGGAATTGATCCTCCATCCCAAGCACCAAGGCGCGTGCCAGTGGACCTGGGTAGTGACCAGCGGGTGCTGTGACGCGCTTCCCTCCAATCACTTGATCATGGCCATGAGTGCGCATGCACTTCTTGCCATCCAATCTTGAAGCCACGGTAGGGCTCGACGAAGCAATCCGTGTAGTGTTGCGATGTAGGCCACCAAGAGCGCTGCGAAGGTTGAACCTGCATTGATCGAAATCTGCAGTGACAGCTTCTTTCTTGTCCAAAAACTTGATCATTGAGGGCTCTTTCCAAGCAGCACTAGGCCGTGGATTTTCAAGGACGTAGTGGCGACCAGCTTCCAATTGAATTGCTGCCAACTCCAGTGCAAAGTTCATAAGCACACGGCCTTTCTCCAAGATCTCCTCCAGGTTGGTTGAGGGATTCAAATTCATCAAAGGCGAGAAAGGGCCGCAAGGAAATGCGATCATCAGGAAGTAAGGCTTTTCCTTTCTGATCAATTGCTTGGCTTGTTCACGATGGTCGGCTAGAAGGAAGTTCCAGCCTGTCTCCAAGCTGAGAGGAGTGCCCACACGATGGCCTCGCTTCGAAGCTTCACGCATCACCCGCTGAGTGTTGGTGTACACTTCAGAGAGAAAGGGACCATCCAGTGAAGAAGTCTTCAGGGAAGAAGTGCCCGGCGTTGACTGTGAAGAGGGGTTCAAACAAGTAGCCATGTCAATCGCACGCACAAAGACTTCATCATTCACATAGGAGCTCATGTTGGCTTCAAATTCACTGACAAAGGCATTCCTGGTGCGATCAGCTCGAACTCCAAATCGCGCAGCCTGATCTCTTTTGCGCTTGTCCCAGGCTTGAGAAATGAGCAAAGCCTGGCCTTTCTTCAACTCTTGATGCAGCTTGCAGGGATCACTCAGGGATCCAGCACTGCCTCCTTCGCTTCGGGTGTCAGGAAGGCTGGATCGATGTCTCCATATTGGGCCTCCAGGCGCTCTTGGTAGACATTCTCCATGGAGTGGGCTGCATCTTCCTGCAACTGACGAAGGGCTTCCGGAGAGAGCTCTTCGAGGCTGATCATGTCGGCATCCGAGTTGCCGTCCAAGTTGAACTGCTGCGGCATCAGGCCTTCGGTCTGCCAGGCGTTCATGCCACCGCTGGAGGATTGCAAGTTTGCGAGCGCTGTGCCCACTTGCTTCATCATCTGTTCCAGTGCGGCCATTCGACGATCTGCTGCCAACTGAAAGCTTGGTTCCCGCACTGGCGATCCAGACTTCATGAGGGCGGCCGGCGGTGCCTTGAAGTTTGGTGGACGGACAGGTGAAGGTGGATCCTGCACGGACTAAACAGGTGTCGTTGACGAGGATGCCTTGCTTGGCGAAGTCGTCGGCTTGCTCTTCAAAAGGTCGACCATGGGCTTCACCTTCTCCTTGATCTGCGGCACGGTCATCTTGTCCTCCAAAGGAACATGGAGCAATGCCGCCAGCTTGACCAGATCGGAGCGAAGTGTTGGCAGTCCTCCACGTGGCCCAATGAGAGCTCGGGCTTCCTGTTCCGCTGTCCCGTCCTTCATCGCCGCCTGAGCCTTTTCTTTGGCCTCTGCAATGGCCTGGCTCTTCACTCGGGCTGTGAGGCCCTTTGCCGCTCGACCAGCCATCATGCCGGTCAAAACTGGATCCTCCAGGAAGGCGTAGCGTAGCCCCATTCGATTCCTCAGCCAAATGCAATCGGCCATTGCCGTGGCGTTGAAGTGTTGGTTGAGCTCGGCCTTGAGGATCGAACCTTTCGGAAGGATTCCAGCATCTTCCATCGTCTGGGCCTGGAGCTTCCACTGCTTGACAGAGCTGATGGATGGGTACGGGAGAGGCACGTACCGCATCGAGGGCCCGCACAAGCCACAGCAAAACACCCCATAAGTGCCAGCGCAGCCGAGCAGCGAGTCTTTCGACCATGCGGCGCCATCTTTGGATCGTCTGACCCTGGCGGCTGCCCACTCTGCCGTAGTTGTGAGCGTCGTCGTAGCCGCCGTGCATCAGAAGGCGCAGAGCTGGGGGTAATCGAGCTCGACGGGCAAGTCGTAGTAGATGAAGTCGTCGAAAAAAGGTCAGAGGTGACCGGTCCAGGCATTGAGGCTTGAACCAAAGCGCTGCTCCGTCGAAGTTCAGCTAGGCCCTGCACAACACGGCTTGCCTTCATGCTTGCTTCGGTCAGGTGGTGCTCATGCTTCATGGGCTTGTGAACATGCTTTGAAGCTAACTTCACATGCAACCATTGCTGAACGCTTAATTGCAATTCCACAACACCATCAACTCCCAGTTTCCTCCAACGCTGAGAGCCCACACCTCCCCATTGCGAAGGGAGAAGTCGCAGCATGAAGTGACCTGCCGCTAGCTGTTTCAAAGGCATCACACTCGAGTCGAGGAACTCGAACTGGATGACCCGGGAGGCGAAGGACATGGTGGCACCAACCGACTCGAGGAAGCCCCGTCCAAGCAACAAACCAAGGGTACTTCAGAAACCCAAATACAAACCAAGGTGCCGCCAATCATAGTAGGGATCCTCCACCGTCGAACACTGACCTGAGTTCCACCATCTCCAAACCGGAAGACCTCGTGCTCCTTCACGGTGGTGACCAGTTCACGAACATGTTGGGGAGCACCTTCTAGACCTCGAAGGAAGCATTGAAGCCACTCCGAACCTGAAACCGTGCGGTTGCAAGCACTATCGAGGGCACCGACCAACCTCTTGTCATCAGAAAGACCGGTGGCGAGGACCTCTTTGGTGTGGTTGGAGTTGAGGGCTTCCTTCAAACTCATGTGGCGAGAAACACACGAAACGGTCAGGGTCTCATTTGTCTCCTCAGCGATGTGGTCGGCTCCAACCATGTGCTCGGTGTTCAAGGTCTCAACAACTTTCACCGACTTGAGAGCCTGCTTTGGCCCTTTGCGACCCAATCCAGCACCCGGCTTCGGGCATTCAGCGTCTCCAGCCCAGTGACCAAGCTGGTTGCAGTCGAAACAAGGCGTTTTGCCCTTCTTGGATGCCAGCTTGCTCTTCGGAGAGGGTGAAGAGGTCGATGAGGTTGGAGAGGCTTTGCCATAGCCCCTATCTTTTCTCACTTCAGCCAACTTGGTGCGCGCCTCACGCATGGTGAGCAAGGCTTCAGCAGCACTTTCAACCGTATCCTCAACGTCCTGGATGAGGTCGGCACCAATGCCGTCATCAACAGCCTCCTCAATCTCAGTGGCCAGGATCTCAGCTTCAGCCTGGAGCACCTCTTCAAGGGTGAAATGCTCTTCATGCTCAGTGGCCGGATCATCAGGTTCCGGCTCTTCACGAAGCTCATCATCGGCCTCAGCTGCATAGGCTTGCCGTTGACTCATCTGTCGACGAGGGAAGGGACGGTCAGACCTGTAGGTCGTGCTTGAACGACCTGAGCCAAATGAGGATGTCGTCGACGGGGCCGTTGAAGCAGCATACGAACCTCGGGAGGACGGATGGCGAGGCTGCTGAGAGAGGAACTTGTTCATGATGGGATTCTTGTTGAACCCTTCTGCATTGGAGCGCCTTGCCAATGGATCGGCAGCATGAAGATCTCTGAACAACCTGAGGACCTCGACTTCCGTCTCCTCGTAGGTCTCCTTTCCTTGGAGGGCGGTCTCCAAGAGCTGCTGCCGAATGGCGTCCAAGCCAAGCTTCTGCTTCAGGAACCATCCGAGCTCGGATGATGGAAGCGTCACCCCTTCCATCCGCAGACCAGCAACTGCGGAACGGAATCTCGTGCAGAACTCCGAGATCCGCTCGCCGGGCTTCCGGCGAAGCTCCAAGTAGAAGGCATTGCGCAGGTCGCCGCGCTTGTCCAAAAGCGTCTTGCCGTTGATGGACTCCAAGGCCTTCAACAGCTTCTTCAAACCTGCAAGCGGGTCTTCAGGGGTGATCACAACTTCCTCCTCAGTCTGAGGATCCAAAGCCATCACGGCCTTCTGGTACTCGAGCTCTTCAGGCGAGAACTCCTCGCCTCTCTGGCGGACTATCCCGCCTTGGCGGAGAAGCCAACGAGCCGCCAAGTTGTAGCGCTTGGTGCCTTCAAGGTCCAATGCGCTCATCCACCAATGCATCTCCTTCAGAAATGCCCGCCAGCCTTCGGGATCTCCGTCCCAAGTTGGGACTCTTGACCAAGCGCCACTTCCACCATTCTTATCTTCATCAGCCATGGTGAAGGGGTCCGGCTCGTGAAACAGGGTGCAAACGAAGAGGCAAGAACCTAAGGTTGAAACATCAACAACTATCAAATTCGATCTTCGGACCCTTCTCCTCAAGGAACGTGGCCTGGTGGTCAGCAATGATCACCACCCTCGGACTCAAGCAAGAGGCGGTAGCCGAAGAGGTCAAATGCAGGGGAGCGGAGTCGAGCAAAGCCAGGCGCAGCGGCAGCAAGCACGGGCGAGCAAGACGACCAAGATCGATGGCTCCGGTGCCACTATTGAAGGGCTGGCGCACGCCAGCTCAAAGCAAAAGAAGCGGCCTTTTCCGGACCAAAAGGCGAAAGCCAAAAAGGGTCAAGATCTCGGGCCCCCGACGGCAGCGGGGATTCTCAAGCTGAAACGACATCCCAATCCAATGCCCAGTTCAACAATATTTAATCATAAAGGTAGAATGCAGAATCTCTCCTGTAGCACGTCTTATGTTGTAAAAGATTGGGTATTTCCAACAGGGCTACGATGATGCAGACACAAATTTCTTACTGTGCGAAGTATCATCGTCTCCATAACTACCATAACTACATAACTTGTATACATAACATATCCTCCTCTCATTGCTTGATGCTGACCCAATCCCACCCACCTTCAGCAATAATGGCAGCAGTTGCCACCTGTCCGTGCGAATCCTGATTCATATGCAGTCGTTTCATTGCTCTCGAAAGGCAAGAATTGTGGGTTCTTCTTGACCCGTTCAACCTTGCCTCGCTCTCTGGGGGTGGAGACACAAGAAAGGCGACAAATGGCTTTGGATTTGCCTATATACGTACAAAGTGAAAGGCCTTATTCAGGCACATGGAGGTTCTTTAAACAGGTGATGCAAAATGGCAAAGCTCTGCTCAATTGGCCGGCACCACTGGTCGTCCCGCAAGACCAAGCCAGGAATCTGCCGGCCCACCTGCCATGAAATCCTGTGGACAACTTCATATCTCAGCCATCTTCAGCAATCTCATGTTTTCTTTAGCATAAAAACTATCGGCGAATCTCCAGAAGACCTGTGCAAAAAAGCCAAGTCGTCGTCATGCATACTGTGCTTGGTTCCGCTCAGGTCTGCCTCTGCCAGGGGTCTGGAAGCCTTCACAACCTGAGAAGTGAAAAATCCACTTGAAGGGAATAAAACGAAGCATCTGATAAGGTCAATGATGGAGTGGGTGTGACGCCTATGAGGCAACAATACAAATCGTAGTGATGACCCAGAAATCCGTGTAGAGATCGGTCACCTTTCGCAGCTGGCAGAGCCCGCAGGCAGACAAACCGAATCCGCCAAAGGTCAGTCCTCGTCGAACTCCTCTGCTGCCACCCCATACCTCTAAGGCTCGAAGGCTAAGGCTTTTCAAAGGCTTCGTTTACTGTGTAAGTTTGTAGAAAAGTCGTCTACTGCCCTCACGATGTGAAGCTGTCTTTCAAATCACATGTCTCATATGAATTCATACTCATGTGCCCGCCCTCGGAAGTACCTTGTCTCGAAAGCTGTCTTTGCCCACTTCGAGGCGCCAAGGGCCTTCGGGCGTCAGCATCCCCCAGCCTCGCCATGTGCGGCAAAAGCATCATCTAGCTACTAGCTTCTTGCTACTAGGAATGGCCCGGAGCCCCTAGCAGCGTCCTTGCTCCTAGTAGCGATGCCGCTACTAGTAGCTTCTTGCGGCTACTAGCTTCTTGCTACTAGGAATGGCCTTCATCCTAGTAGTGATGGCCTCCACCTAGTAGCGTCCTTGCTACAAATTAGTAGCAAACAATTTGCTAAGCAGAAGCCCTTGGCCAACAAGCCGAGGCTTCAGCCATCATAATGGATCCACTCCAAATATTCACTGGCCTCAACCTGACTTCTCCCAGAATCAAATCGATATCCCCTTTTTGGAGCCTTTCAAAGGTCAATGAGACTAATGAGACAATGAGACGTGAGGAATTTGGCCACAGAGGTGGCTTTTCCTCGCCTAGTTGCTCTCTAAACCCCTTGTAACACGCTGCATATGGCATACTGCACATGCCTATAAGTTGCAGTCCACTTCAAATTTATACTCCCTTCGTGCGGACCCTTGCAAATGCTGTTCAGAGTTCAATCGGCTTGGTGACAAGAAACAAAACGAAAGTCTCATCGACACCTGCGCTCCAGGCACCCCACGTAGTCCAGCACCAATCGCAAAGGATTTCGTTTCCTGACTCAACCGGTTCACCCTGAAACTCTCGCTACTAGTAACAAAGGGCATCGCTAGGAAAACTCTGAGGTTCGCACCCCATGTCTGTAAGGATCGAAGGCCCTGAGTCGAAGACGTATTCACCGCCTCTCGTGAAAACAACGCTCAGTTGAAACTGACAGACACAAAACACATACCTCATAGTAAAATACCTACCTCAATAGTTCAGCCGGAAAAGTTCCTAGTAGCGTCCTTGCTCCTAGTAGGCCAGGAGCCCCTAGTAGCTTCTTGTTACTAGTAGCGATGCCAGGAGCCCCTAGTAGCGTACCTAATAGTAAATTAGTAAATACCTCAATAGTCCCCTAATCATCCCCAAATTGGCTCATTGTGGCCCTCCCATAATCATCCCTGCCTCCAGGGGCTTTGCGAGTGAATGAATGTGCCTGAGGTTGTTGGCAAGAGACATTGAGAATCAATCATTCTCGCCAATTCTGGTTTTCTTCTTTTGCAGCTCATCTCAGCTCAATCAATATTTTCTTCATACTCAATGATCTCCTAACCCAACAACTGCCTCTAACACCAAGTTCAGAACGAAGTTACAGCACTTTCGCGTGAGTGATGAGACTGGTTGTTCCAGGGTGCCGCACACATCCCCCACATACAGAGTGGGCCTCCAGAACCAGGACCTTCCGGCCAGCCTTGAAGGTCGGCAAATGATGCGAAAAAGCCCCGTTCGTGGCGATGCCCTTTGCTCCTAGTAGCGATGCCCTTTGCTCCTAGTAGAGTCCTTTTGTTCCTAGTAGTAAGGCCAGGAGCCGTTGCGTCGTTGCTCCTAGTAGCGATGAGAGGTCACTCTCGGCAGTTTTGGGAGAGCGACCAAGGGTGACCGAGAGTGACCCGTGGACAATGTTCGTGTCACGATTGAGTGGTCGATTCTTGCTACTAGAAGCGATGGACTTGTTACTAATAGCAATGCACCTTGCTACTAGTAGCTTCTTGCTACTAGTATATAGTAGTAATGCCCTTGTTACTGTTACTTACTAGTAACATTTAGTAGCATTTAGTAACATCTAGTAATCCTATGTCCCGTGACATCGATACAAACCGTCCAGCTGCTCCGACATTGTTCCACACTGACTTACTCACTCGCTCGCTCACTCGCTCACTCACTCTCCCCCACTCTGCTGCGGAACTGAAGCTTTGCAGCACCGACAAACGGGCAAGCGGCAAACATGTGTTCAAATAGATTTTCCTTCTTTCCTTGTATTTAGTTGTTCGTATTGTTTCCTGTCCCTTGGTCGCATAAGTGAAAACAAAGCATGAGACTCTCAGCCTTGTCTTCATCAGCATCTTGCTTGCAAGTAACTTCATCAAATCCTGCTTCTTAGCTCTTCCTCCACGGTACGACTTCCTTTCATTGAACGCCAGTACCAAGCCAGGCCTTCCCCAAAGCTGCAGCACAGGCAAGGCCACCCAAACCAGCACCTTGAGTGGCAAAAGTTCCATGGTGTGTGCTGTACTCACCTTGATGACGTCGGTCACCCTGAGGTCACCCAAGGTTTTCATTCAGAGGGTTCTCAGTCAGTGTTTTGGACCCGGCCTATGACAATGACGTCATATTCAGTGGAGCTTGGACCTGGAAATCCAAGCGGGACCATACAGCCAAGAAAGATTGAGCCTTACCTGAACATATCCTTTCTCGTATCTCAAAGCTGTAAAAACCAAACACCAAGGCAGTGGCCAGCCCGCACACGCACTGCCCGCAAACGCCGAGATTGCGCCCTATCAAGAGTCAAAATTACGAGAATAAAGGTCATTGCTTAAAGTCCCTATTTAAAGGCACATTTTGTCCATGCAAAAAAGGACAGCTTGGTTCAAAATGCACTCTATTAGCCTGGCCTCAGGCTGAATGCACCCAGGAAGCCTGTAACCAAAGCCGCCTTGGAGGCCCTTGCACGAATAGCCTTGGCTAACAACAGATTCACACCAAGGAAAGGGCCAGTATTGGACAAATATGTATATAATATATATATATATACATCAGAGCATTGCCGTCCTTTGTAACATTGTAAGGAAACAAAATAACAACTAGTGCAGCAAACTTTTTGGCCGCCTTCCTGGGCCTTCCATTGGGTGTCCAAGACAGAATCGAACGTGGTAGAATCTTAATCAAAGGACAGGATCGTGGTTTTGAATCGTCGGAATCATGTTTTCGGATCCCTGGTGACTCCAATCAGCCCAAGAGGCTGAGAAACCTCGATTGAGAAGCCGTTCTCCTCTGCAAAACATTTGGAAAGTGTCATAGCCCCCTCCAAGGTCCAAAAATGCGTCTCGTTGGATTGGCAATGGACCAATGAGTGGCTGCCACGAGTCTGTGTCCTGATATAGCTTGTGGATTCCTCTATGAACGAATTTCTGGATGTCGTTTGAAGAGTTGATGCATGGTTGGATGTTCTCCATTCAGGTCAATAACATAACATAACTAAACGAGTGCGGTACAAGCGGTCTCTGTTGCGAAGTGGCATGAATATCGACAAATCAGACTCGTGAAGCAGTGCCTTGTGGAATGGCAGGGTTCCTGGAAAGCTCAAACTTTAGTCGTCAGAAGGATTGAAATTACATAATTGGGTCCATTTGCAACAAACACGTCTGCAACTTGACCCGATGACTTTCAACGTACATAGAGAGCACTCTGCTACACGAAGGCCGGTTTACTCGCAGAACGCAGCTGTGCTGTCAGTAAAGGTGATCTATATTATTTGCCATACAGCATGGCGTGAACAAGAATGTGTTTTTTACAAACAGGTTTCTCTAGATGAT